ACCAGTGTTTTCCCACCCTTGGTTACTGAAAAATGCCTGGCCTTCACCCCCCAGAATCCCCAGCCAGCGAATGCTGGCTGGGGAATTCTGGGAGTTGAAGTCCAGACATCTTCAAGTAGCCAAGGTTGAGAAACACTGTCTTAGACTAATATATATATATATATAATTACTTCAATGCAGACAGTCCTCTCTTAACAATGGGAATCGGGACTGGAAACTTCATTGCTAAGTGATGCATTCATAAATTGGGGAAAAAAAATCATGTGGCTATGCCAACTCATAATGGCAGTTCCAGTGGCTATTGTTAAGTAAATTGAATGCAGTGTTAAGTGAAATGTCACATCACCATGGCTTGCAACCAAGAGCGGGCTTGCAGAATTTCTGTTGGTTTGAGGGATGTCTTACGCTTTGCATGGCAAAGTTTGCATTTTAGAAGCAGGTATGGGCCTGGTCTGCTTTGGACAGAGGTCACTTGATTTCCTTCTTCACTCTGAAAACGGCACTGCCAATTTGACTCAAAGTTTCACAATGACCAGCTATGAATCAAGTATTAAAAGGTTGTCCAAACATTTCTTAGCCTCTCCATCTAAACATCACATCCAATTCCCTTTTAGAGTCAATCGTGCATATGTTTGTAAAGCTATCGTGGAGATCGCACAATGCCTGCCAAAATCTCTTCTAGTAGATATAAAGGAAAAAAAAAGGTTTACTCACAGGGGATGACCAGGTCCCCAATATACACCTGTCCCAGCACGGGCCTCCTGGCGTCCGTTACTTGAGCAACATCCATCTGTGTAGACAACTGTATAATCTCCTATAAAGGCAGGTTTGCATTAAAACAGCACCAGGCAATGTCAAATTTCCTAAACAATTTAAATAGATTGTTTCTGGAAACTGCATTTACGTACAGATGATAAAACTATTTCAGAGTATGATATACATTTAGCCAGTTTTAGCAAAACTCTGTAACTTATCTAAGCGTACTACACAATGGAAGCCAGAATTGAAAACTCTAGCTGATAAATTGCCAACACTAAATACACACACACACACACATATACATAGATATATACACATACACACACATATATACATACATACATATACACACACAGACACATATGCATGCATACATACATACATAAGGAAATAGTTTTATTGGGATTACCATGAATATTGTTTTAAATGTGGAGGAAGGTATCTAAGGCTAGAGCAGTGTTTCTCAACCTTGGCAACTTGAAGATGTCCAGACTTCAACTCCCA